TGGATGTGGAGTCGAGGGGCATCAATTAAGGTATTGCCATGTCAATCTAAAATCATCATGTAAGTCACTCCTTAGTACATCATTATGAACACCGCATTATTTTTCCTTGTTGTATATGTGTATCCATGTTGGAGATCCCCTCATAAACATGGTCTTAACAAGACGTTGAATCACAAAACATTGCATATAATTACTTTTTGAATGAGACGCATTATTCGTGAATCCACTCTATCACAAATTCGCTTATTTACAACCTCTTGTGGAATTGAGCTCTATAATTATGTCATTGAATTGAGTTATAACTTTAGGATTAATACTTCCCACTTGCTTTCCTAAATTCTCAACTAGAGACTATACCTGATGAATTTCTTACAGAACCTTTTGAATCGAATGGATAACATCCGCTCACTTGTGCCTATGCACGCACCATCATAATATTTACCTATGTGGTATCAAATCTAATGTAAAGTAGCCTAGTGTTGAGATCCTTCTTGAGCCACTCTTTTTCTTTCCGGTGTATGTGGCTCCTATGATTGGAACATTCACTTTATTCCTTTATGAATAGTATCATGAATCCTTTTCACTGCCTAGTAACATGAGAGCATATCTCAGCACCTATCATATGTCTACCTATCGATTGAAAGGGGTCACTTGTCAGCATACAAGTTTCTGGCAAATTTGATATTTTCATAAATTCGTCGCAGGAAGATCTTTTTGTTCGCCCATCTCAGTATGACTTTCATGTCCACCTAGATTATGCCTCAGTAAGTAGCTCACCTTGTAACTAGTATTGTAGTTGCCCATGAAGTGGCCTGATATGGCAGCTTAAGAGTTGTTGTGTTAGAAACATGTCTAGCTCATAGCAAAGTGTTCATTTTCTCTAACCAATACATGATTTCATCCCAAATATTTTTATTTCCTAGCTATGTGGTTTCACTCATGAAAGGTTGAAATTAGATGCTTCCAGATTTTGGCACATATCATGAGCATATTGATTTGAAAAAAAAGTTTGTCGTATCTCTAGTCCTCTCATATAGGATCAACTATTGGCAAGGGATGAGCTGTCAGAATGATAATAATCTCGCAAGTGTTCAACTCCTTTTTCAAACTCATGGGCTTGTGGTATATCTATTCTTTGTGTCACTTAATGTTAAGAGCGTAATTCGACTACATGTATTTCGAAACCCATATCACCTTCAGGGTACCAGAATATTCTCATTTTGAGTTAAACTGATTTTCCCTACATTCCAAGAGGCGACCGGTGTCACGTACTTGGTTATTTCTCTTTGAGGCTTACTATTGCCGAACAAGGCACATATGGAATGAAATAATTGTTGTTGTCCTTTTCATGACTCATAGTCTTCCAAGAATAACTGACACGAATGTCTTTATCCTTCCGATTATGCCTCCCATATGTCACATGTCAAAGAAGAAGTATCATCCCGTGATCAAATATATGGGATAGGAAATTTTATTTTCATATTCATGCTAGACCGTCTTAGAGAAATTGTTGGAGGTCTCCAAAGGTTTAGTTTGGGTCTTCAGCGTAGAGATTTAGAGTTGAAGAAAGTATTTGGGTTATTCTCAATATTTTCTCCATGAGGATGTTATGTGCATTTTTAATAAGGGTAAAGTATGTGTAGTCACATTAGGTCTTATGAAATCCTGAAGAAAATATGCCAAACTATGAGTATGATATTTTCCTATTATTTTCCTCTATGTACCTGGTGTTTCATGTGACTGTGTCTAAGAAGGTAGTTGGAATTCTTGGTCTACCGTTCCGGTGAAAGCTAGTGGAGGTGAAGTAAATGGATAATTGGCCTATGAGAGGTACTTAATTGTCATCCTTGTTAGGTAAGTCTAGGAGTTGAGATTGCCTCCTTGAATGTGTTATGGTGAAGTCTGTGAGTCGAGGAGTCCACCTCGAAGGCCGAACATGTTAAGGAAAGAAAATGTTCTCATTTGGTTGTATAGTCAAATAATTGTGGATCGAAAGGTAATTCCTATGTGTTATGATTTAAATATGTGTAGCTCATGTTCAGATACCATTATTTTGAAGATGTAACACCTATAATGTTGAGATCAGTGTTGTTGATATATATTACGATGCTTTGTTGAGATATGAATGTAATGTTAGGGTGGTTTGGTGATTCTATGGCATGTGGATAGGCCCAATTACAAAGGAAACGATGCCGAAATTTCTGAAATATTTGGGAGATTGAGTTGTGAGAAAGAAGAGATAAGTTATGTTATGTATTTAGGGGCGGACTCTACTTCTCATTCGAGGATGAATGATCCTAAGTGGGGGAGAATGTAGCACCCCGGAAAATTTTGAAGTACTTAAGCGCTATTAAGAAAGTTGATGTGTGCTAATTATATTTTTTTATGTGCAGACTAGGACTATTAATATGATGGATATCAATTAGATATGATAATAAGTGTACGAGGAATATTATAAGTGATGTGGGGTCTAAGGAGAGGCCTAAGTCTAAGTCAAATTGGAAAATTACATGATAGACTAAAGTTCCAAATGAGTACGCGTAAGATCAAACTTTGGATGAGCATATATATNTAACTCTTCAAACCGTTCTTCATTTGGACACTCCTACAAGAAGTTATGACCAAATTACCAAAAGCTGGCAGAAGGTCACACTACTGCGCCGCCCCATGCGGCGCGCCTGTGGGGATTTCCAGAACACTTCAGAATTTCATTTCTAGGCATATTTTTCACTACCGCTGCATGCCTCGCGGCGCCCCATGCGGCGCGACTGTGCAATTTTTGGATTTTTATAACCTGACCCTAATTTGATAAATAGCCTCTGGGGCTCATTTTGAAGGCAAAAACCTGATATGTTTAGAGAGAAGTGAGAGTATTCTAAAGAGAGAGGAAGTAGATAAAGTATTTTGTTCATCAAGATCTTGTTCAAGACTTGAAATCCAACAAGGAAACCTCACAAAATCTTCACTCAAGAGGTAAGATTTAAACCCCTAGTCTTCAATTTCGAGTTTAGGGTAAAACATGAGTGATTGGGAATATGATTCTTGGGTGTAAGAATATTAATTATACATGCTTGTACCAATAAGATTTGTGAGAAGATTGTTGTGCTAAAATAAGTAAATATTAGGTTGAGGAGTGAAGGAAATATTGTAGAAGAACTTTGTAGTCAAATTTGCATACCTAGTGTTTGATAAAATGCTCAAATGAGCTGAAACCATGAATATCTTCTTAATTTGTGTTAAATTTTGTTACGTCTCAAAATAGATTGAGATTGATAGAATTTTTGGAATGTTGTAGTAATTTAAGAAAAGCTCAAAGTGAGGTATGTTGGCTAAATTACTCTTTTAGAATTGAATTCCATGATGTTCCCGTAAGTTTCAAGTATGGTTGGCTCAAGTTCCTTATTCTCATGTTTCGAGTTATTCCCTATAAATTTGATTGTCCTGAGTAAGCAAAGTGTCGAGAATTATGTATTCAAAATGTGTTCCTAGTGTTCCTATCTCATTACATTATCCTTTGGTAATGTGTTCAAAAATGATATGTGTATTAAAATGTTATGTCTTTGAGTAGTGTTTCAAATGAAAGTTATCATGCCAAATTATGGGAGAAAAACTCGATGTGCTTAAGACTCTTAATTGCTTATATGTGTACCTAAAGTCTTGATTGGAAATGCCTTATTGTTGATAATGTATAAAGATGCTCGAAAGTGAAAAAAGTGAGTTGGTGATATAAATTGTGGCCACCGTGCCAAGAATGAAAATTTTACTTGTGGATAGTGGTGCCAATGAATTGAGATGATGTGAGAAAGATTATGAAATGAACTTTGATTCAACTGTTCCGAAATTGACTTCGAAAATAGAATTTTCTAAAAGCTTATGAACTCAAGTGATGCCCATATGTGGCTGCTTTAACTAATGCTATGCTTTGTAAGTAGTTTCGATGTGTTTTGTGTTCTTACATATTCGTGAGTTGAAATTGTAAATTGCCCTTTTTGGGAAAAAAGTATTTCAAGAATAAATGATGTGTTACTTGTTTATGATTTTAACTTGTGCTTCGATTTCCAATCATTTTACTCTATTTCTTAGAAAAATAATCCATTGTATTTAAAGCCTTCATTACTAATGAACCTAAAGTTGTGATTTCCGGAATATTCAATTTGTTGATATTTATGATGATGATCCATGAAAAGGAAGAAATAAAAGTGTAGAATATGAAATACGGCCATTTTTCCATGAATGAAGAATTATATGTATGGCCAAGAGAGCCAATGAAATAATGATGTTGAAAGTGCCAATGAGGCTATTTACGGTATGAAAGATTATGAGGTAAATGCATTTGTATTGTTGTTTCCTTTGTAAGTAAATCAATAATATTTTTGGGAGTATCGATAGCCAGCGAGAAAGGGTAGGTTGAAATAACCTAACCCCGAAACTACACGTGCCAGTGTAGGAGTGGATTGTGATCATTCCTCTTATTTGGGATGAGATTGATGTGATAAAATTATTCTCCTTAATTGGGATGAGATGATTGATAGAAATGGATGATGTCGATCTACACGACATTGTGGTGAGATGGCCTAGCCGATCGGGTCGTGATCGGATACCATGCCGCACACATGGTGGTGATTGTGCTGGAAATTATAATTGAAATTGTAATTGTGGTTGATGTCTCGGATGTGATGGCCTAGCCGATCGGGACGTGATCAGACTCCATGCTAAAGGTACGGTGGTATTGGTATTGTGAATAATGGTATTGTAAAAGGTGATATTGTGAACAGTGGTATATCGGTGCTAAAGATCTCCCAACCAAAAATAATATTATCTTCGTATTTTAGAAATTATTGTGTTTTAACTTGGAAATTGGATATCATTGATTGTTGATGGTTGTTTCCATGGTTTTTCTTTTATGTTGGCATTCTATTTTGAACGAGGACAGTTAGCTTTACATACTAGTACTATTCCATATGTACTAACGTCCCTTTTGCCGGAGCGCTGCATCTTCAATGGATGCAGGTGGTTCATCAGCGGGGCAGCTTTGGTCCTCATTAGTAGTCACTCTTTATTCAGCAGGTTTTGGTGATCCCTACTCTATTCCAGGCTTTATGTCATCTGACGTTGTATTTTGTACTATGAGGTATAGCCGGGGCCTTATCACCGACACTTCTATTCTTCACTTCTGTTGTACTTAGAGGCTCTGTAGACAGGTTATGGGTGGTAGTCGATGTTGGGAATTGAACTAGAAATATAAGTATTTGGCAGACATGTTTTTCATTATATCTATAAACTTGTAATATTTTGGAAATTATGAATGAAGATGCTAATGGAAATGAAATGGGAGTTGTTAATGAAATATTATTAGTATTTGATTAATGGAGTACATCTCCTCTTTATTCATGGTTGAATTTGTATAGAATGAAATCTAACAGGATTGCTCAGTCGGGTTTATTCGGTTGAGCGCTGGTCACGCTCTCTGAGTTTGGGGCATGACAGATTTATTGTCGGGCACTCATTCTATTTCTATTCCACCATATCGTATGGCCCAAGCGGAGCTGAAGGAGTTAAAGAAGCAGTTGTAAGAGTTTCTTCATAAGAGCTTCATTTGGCCTAGTGTGTTACCTTGGGGGTGCTCCGATCTTGTTTGTAAAGAAGAAGGATAGTTCTGTGTGCATGTGTATTAATTATCGATAGTTGAATAAGGTTAAAGTGAAGAATATTTATCCATTTCCACGCATTGATGAACTATTTGATCAGCTACAGGGTGCGAGAGTGTTCTCAAAAATTAATTTGCGGTCAGGCTATCATCAGTTGAAGATTTGGGATCGGGATATTTCGAAGCTTGCCTTCAGGACTCGGTATGGTCATTACAAGTTTCTTGTGATATCATTAGGGCTGACCAATGCCCCAGCATCATTCATGCACTTGATGATCAGTATATTTCAGCCCTATCTTGACTCATTCGTCATTGTGTTTATTGACGACATCTTGGTGTACTCCTGGAGCTGGGAGGATGATAAGCAGCATTTGAGGATTGTACTCCAGGCCTTGAGGTAAGTGTCTTGCCTAGCTTTGTGTAGGGAAATTACCCCTTAGGAATGGTGTTGGATTGTGTTAATTATGATATGTGAAAGACGTGTATGCAAGGTGACGAGTGTGTACATGAGCTAAATACGAAAATTTACCGGTTTTAGCTATGTAAATTTCTTTCATGCCTTACTTGAGTTACCTTACCATTTTATAATAATCATCATTAGTCTATATTCACATGATATACTTGTCTTGTCCCTTACTTGTTAATTGCCCTTACATGTTTAGTTGAAGTATTGTTTCCTCTATTCCTATTCATTACTTAATCGTTGAGTTCTTTACTTGAAGTTGTTATTTTTGGAATATCTTATTGTTAAAATTGGTATTGTGTTATAAAGGCCTTGATTTACATTGAGGCAAAGTTGTAAAGTTGTGAAATACTATTCTTGTTGAGTTTTTTACTTCCGGTTGTTATTATGAGACTCTTGTGCATATTGTGGTTGAGCCATTGACTAATTATTATGAAAACACTATTGTTGTTGGTTTCTTGGCAAGTTGTGATATTAGTCATTTGAGGTGCGATTTGTGATACGTTGTGATATTGATATCCATGCGGTGGTATAAAGATTTGGGGTTGAAACGCATGGGTGAGATAAGGTGCGCTTGATACGTGTGTTGCTAGTAGGGGAACTACTTGAAGCCAAACGGTGTGATAAGGTAGGCTAAAATGCGGGAAGCTATTTCGGAAAAAATAATTTTTAAAACTAAATGCAAGGCTCCCGCGGTGATATAAGAAAAGATTGTGAAATATTTTGTGATTTGAGACTACGATGCGGTACCTCGATAGCGATTCTTGTTGATATTTTTCTATTACTTCACTTGTATTTTGTTTCTTTCTTCTATGTCATAGCATTCCTTATTTTCCTTCCGTGATATATTGTTTGATTTGGTTCAGTGTAGCTAATCTTGGTGTACTTCTTTATTGTATCATTTCAATTGCTATTATTACCTCACTGTTATATACTTGTCCAGCTTCTTATTTATTCCAGGAGGGATTTGACCTGGCCTCGTCACTACTCTACCGAGGTTAGGCTTGGCACTTACTGGGTACCATTATGGTGTACTCATGCTACGCTTCTGCATATCTTTTTGGGCAGATCCAGTTACCCCCTACCAGTCCAGGCACCAGAGAGACGAGCCCAGTTTGAAGACTTCAAGGTATAGCTGCCGGCGTCTGCAGGCCTCGGCGTTACCTTCTATCTAGTCTATTTTTTTCTTATCCTTTTTATAGACACTGATGTATAGAGATGTTCAGTACCATCTTATAAAGCTTGTGACTTGTATTCGCCGGATTTTGGAAAGTTGTGTTTCTGTTGAGTTACGGAGTTTCTTTATATGATAGTGGTTGAGTTATTTGAAGGTTTTTTTTTATTTATTTATTTATAAATTCTCAGTTAATATTTCATGTATGTTAGGCTTACCTAGTCTTAGAGACTAGGTGCCATCACGACATCCTAAGCAGAAAAATTGGGATCATGACAACGCCCTATTTGGTCGTCCCCATTTAACCCGTGCCTACTTTTAATTTTTTTTAACTAGTACCCAAAGTTTAAACAACTTTAGTCCTTTTTCTCCTCTTTCTCCTCTTCTTCTTGTTCTTGTTCTTGTTCTTCTTCTTCTTCTTCTTCTTCTTCTTCTTCTTGTAACAATGATTTTATATGGTGTTGTGTACATATTTTAAGGTAGTTTATGATGTTTTACAATGGTGAGCTATTGTGGCGCTTTATTTTTTACTATTGCTTAGGGTTTCTTCTTCTTCTTCTTCTTCTTCTTCTTCTTCTTCTTCTTCTTCTTCTTAGTAGTTGCAAAATGGGTTCGTTAGATTTATTATTGTTTCGACAAATTAATGATTGGGATTTCGTTCTTGATGATATTTGGAGGTCATATTTCAAATTTGAGCTCATTTGGAGTAGATTTAGGTGTTAAATCCTATATTGGATTGTTAAAATTCGAAAAATAAATTTCTGTTTCTGGGCAATTTGCATTTCAGGCCTATTTGGCCTTAAGTGTATGAAAACGTTAGTTGCACTTTAGACCTATTTGGCCATAAGTGCATCTGAAGTGCAATTTTTTTTTTATTTTAGACTTATTGGCCTTAAGTGCATGAAACCATTATTTGTACTTCAGACCTATTTGGCCTTATGTGTATCGAAGTACAATTTCTTCACTTCACTTTTTGGCCTTAAGTGCATGAAACTATTGGTTGTACTTCCGACCTATTTGGCCTTAAGTGCATCTGAAGTGTAATTTTTTAACTTCAGATCTTTCTGACCTTAAATGTATGAAAATATTTATTGCACTTCAGACTTATTTGGCCTTAAGTGCATCTTAAGTATAATTTTTGCACTTTAGACTTAATTGACCTTAAGTGTATTGCACTTTGGATTATTTTTTTTAAACTTCAGACACGATAAGTCTGAAATTGATTGTAAAGTAGGTAGGCTTGCAAAATATTTTACAAAATGGATATAACTTCAATTGTGACCCCAAAACCGGCTATAGATGCAAAAGCCCCTATAGTTTTTCCAAAAAATAAAATGCCAAATACCTAGACAACCCCTTAAACTTGGCTAAAATTTCTATTTTAATACCTTAACTAAAGCTTGTACCTATTAAATACTTCAACATCATATAAATTATGCCTATTGAACACGTCTGATGATGTGGCAAAAAGAGTGTGTCTCACCTCTCTTTAGACGCGTGAAGTAATACTAAAATCATATATTTTTTTCTTTTGTTTTATTTAAGAAAAGCATAGTTTTACATTCTTATTCCTCCTCTTCTCCGAGCCACCATCCCCACCATCATTTTCTCACACCTACCAGAAAACTCCTTCACGCCATGAAAACACTGTGAAATTCAGCATCGACGACTACAGATTAAATGCCCATTTTACTAATTTTAATGAAAAAAAATAAACTGCACCGTGAAATTCATTAGTTAAATTGTGAGCAGATGACCTGAGATAGTCAAAATGAACTGCACCGTGAAGCCCGAGACAACAGTGGTGACGACAGCTGCAATCGCCTCTTGACGGTGGCGTTTTTGGCTCGAGCTTTGCGTTTTTTTGGAGAAATTTTACCTTAATTGTTGTCTTCTTCCTCTTGATATTCGTTCAATAGATTGGATCTCGGATTCTTCACACGCCATGTTTGAATGCTTGGAAGTTTCTTTTAGGTTGAAGTTTTAGGATATGAGATTAACAGTATGATCATTTTGCTTCTCGGTTTAACCGGAGAAGATAGTGTTCATGGCGGCTATTGGTGGGAGGCAATAGAATCGGTGGGGTAATGCGGAGAAGCGATGGAATTATTGGGGAAATTTATGTATAAAATAAATCTTTTTTGTCTTCAAAATTTCTTTTTGATTATTTGGGCCCAAATGCCATATGTCTCCCTCTTATTTGTCATTTTGCTAAGTCATTCATGTGTGAATTACACACACCTTATTATTTTTACTGGTTATGAGTAAAGCGTTCAATAGATCCACTTTATATAATATTAAAGTATTTAATAGGAAAAACGATAAGTTAAAATGTCAAAATGAAACGGTAGAAGTTTAAGGACCGTACACCTATTTGGCCAAAAATTTAAAAAAAAAAAAAAGGAAGAAAAGTTAACGAAAGGGACAAGAAAAATCTAGCACCGTGATTAACGTCGTGAAAGGACAGGCAGACGAACAGCAGAAAGAAGTGAAAAATGCTTCCACAGCTACTTTTCCTTTGTTTGCTTCCTCTGTGTCGTCTTCCATTTTCCCACTATTGACCTCCTTCCTCTGCTTCGTACTCCAAGTCTATGGCTGCGCCACTTCTGCTCTTTCACGTTTCTACAAGCTAGAGTTGTCCGTGGTTACTAGTTTCTCTTAACTTAGCACTTCAAGTAAGCATTTTTTCCCCAGTAATTTAGCATGTCTGCACACATGTTCTTGATAATTTGCTAATATTGCCGATTTTCTTTACTGGGTAGTTTTGATTCTTGATTTTTCAATTCCCGATTAAAAAGTTAACTTTAAACAAACACTAATTATTATTTCTATGCACAGGTTTATAGGTTTATGTATAATTTGCTGAATTTGCCACTCCTTTATGCTGGGTAGTTTGAATTTTGATTTTCTAATTTTTGATTCTTGTGAAAGAATGTGTAATTCTTTATATGATTCAAGTAGAGGAGGAGGAGGAGGAGAAGGCTCAGTTTAATTCCACGCGTTCTCCC